TGCTAATGGTGTTCTTTCAATAAGATATGCCTTCCAAGGTAATTATTTCATGACAGTGTTAGTAATAGTACTTGTTTTTATCATGAAATAAAAGATGGTTTTAGGAGCCTTTTATTGGAAAGACAATTGTATCAAATTAGTACAAATTAGATTTTTGTCTTTACAAAGGTGAGCAAACCCATGAGCACTTTTTAAATTGCGTTTGAGTCTACAAATGAACAAATTCAGTTTGAGGGTTAAAGACGCTGTTATTTTGTCCTTTATTCTGACAGCTTCATTACAGATTGGCCACTGTTGGCATTAAAAACATGCCTGGCTCCTTATGATCTCCGTGCGCCTGCCTGCCCGCCCGCCTACACGAGCGGCTATGATATTGCTGCCATACCACCATTCATTAAGGACTCGACTTCAGTGAGGCTGCAGCTTGTAAATGTGGAGAGACACAGATGTTAAATGCAGCCGTTTCTCTTTGTGTACAGCCGTACGGCTAATAATTTCCAAGTGGCTAAAGCTCTTGTTAGCAGGAGTGCTGGGGTGTTAAGAATGAAGCTATAAATAACTTTAAGAATGGAAGTTGAAGGTGCTTCTTTTAAAGACTCCTGTTAACTAAACATTATCGCCAAACAGATGGAGAGTACTCACCAGCCTGATGTTTTTAGGTCTAATTATATTATTACCAGCCCTGTATGGCTCAGTTGAAGAGGTGTACCCAGAGGCCAATTTATAATCATTTAGGCAACACCTGTTTGGGAGAAATTGACAGTCAAAGGGCACATTAAAAAAAAAAAAAAAAAAAAAAAAAAAAAAAAGTCACATATGTTCTTGTGTTTGTTACCTCAATGTGAAAATTGTCAAGTTGCAAACAAACTTGGTAAGAGAAGGAAGAAAGCCTCCATCAACCTGCCTCGTTCCTGCCACGTCTGTCCGTCTTAATTTGTCCTTCTGTGGGACCCACTTCATGCTTCATTACAGAGTGAGACTAGCAAAGAGGGGAACCCCATCCCCCATTCCTGCAGGTGTATTATTCTGTTCTGTCAGGCAGGCAGCTTCTGGTAAGAAAGTGAAGTTCTCTGGCCTTACCTTTCACCCAGAAAGGTGTCTTCCATATCATGCAAATGTGGTTTTGCAAACATGATTGGCTCTCTAGGGAGTGACGTAGAGTCGCAAGTTGACATGAAACCAGATGAGATGCTGGAAGTAGATGCCTCCACAGAGAGAGCCCACAGCTGTCCATCACTATCCACAGAGAGGGGACAACTGTCTGACTCACCTTCAGGATCAAGGGCTAAGAGTTTATCTCCATTCCTTGGAGAGCCATTTTCTTTTCTTTTTCTTTTTTCCTAGAGAATGTGTTGGTAGCCCTGCTGGCAGGCAGTTAAGAAAGGCTAGATCTCCCCATGTGTAAGTAAGGAAAGCCCGAATCTTTTTTTGGACTCAGGGTCCAGTGTCCCCTTTCTTTCAGTGTCTTCTCCTGGCATTTTCCACTCCTGAAAGGGTCAGATCTATCGCCCCCATTTTCTTTCACCTGACTGACTTGGAGCCACCTGGCTTCTGTCCTGAGCAGTCTGTGACAGTGACCTGTGACTTCCTGGTGCCTTCTCCAGCATTTGTTTCCTCAGTCCTTCATGGTAGCTCCTGTTTAGTGGATGGATGGTTACCCACCCCCCACCCCCCGACACCCCGTATAGTTCTCACATCTGAATTGTTCTTTCCTTGTAGTGCCCCCTCCTTTTTTTTTTTTTTTTTTTTTTTTTTGTTGTTGGTGCTTTCATACCTACTTATAGTATTCCAAGTGTGTACAGCTTTCTAAATTCAGGCGTAAACAGCATACTGTCTGCACATGTGAGAGAGGAGGCACTTGGAGCTCACTGTTCCAGGACAGAGTTTCCCTTCTTGGCTTGGTACCTCTTTTGAACAGGGTCAGTTAATATTTTACAGTTGTTTTCTCACTTTCAAAATTTGTTGATTAGAAATGCGCACTTGTTTGAGATGTTGAGTGATATGGGATGTCCTTCTGTATGCCGTGAATGTGTGTTGCTTTTGCCAGTGGTCAGGCAAGATATAGCTAGGTGGGAAATCCAAACAAAGATGTTGAGAGAAGGAAGGTAGAGCTGAAGAGACACCATGTAGCTGCTCAAGGAGTAGCATGCCGGCATATTACTGGTAAGCCACAGGCTCATGGCAATACACAGATTAATGGGTTAATTTGTAAGAGAGAGCTAGCCAGTAATAGGACTGAGCCATTGGCCAAACAATTACAATTCAATATTATCCTTAGAGTGGTATTTCATAAGCAGATCGGGCAGGAGAAAAACTGGCCCAATGGGAGTGGGTGAGACAGAAAAAACCACCCAACTACAGTTGAGAGTGTTCCATGATTGGATTCTCCAAAGCCCAGTGTTGTGCATGATGGGAGGGGAAATTCCAGTGGGGTTGTTCTCATGCCTTTAGGTTGTGTCTTTGTGAGGAATGCTCAACCATAAATCCTTGGTCCTGACTTCTTTTCCAAGTTCCATTTCCACCTTGCTGTCCACCTCCTGTATTCTTAGACTTGAACCTGCTAGCTGTGTGCTTATGGATTTCCTATGTCAAAACAGAAACACCATTTCTGCCTTATTGCCACATAGCTGGTCCTGGCAGGTTTAGCTGACTGAAGACACTAAACATACTGTGTTGAAGTTGTGTACATCACAGTCGTGACACAGGCCTCCTGGGGCTGATGTCACTGCTTTCCTTGCTGTAGTGTGTGAAGGATCTCCCTCCATGTGCACACACGCTGACTGGCTGCTGCCTCTGCAGTTGCTGGAATGGACTGTCTCCCTGCTGCTGGTCAGCTGAGGGCTGCTGGTGCTTCTCAACTTTGCCTGCTCCTCTCAGACTTCTCTGAGCTTCTCGGTGTGCCCTTTGGTTCTTGCCTATGTGGGTGGCGCTGCATCTTAGCCAGGTAGTCCCTCTCATGCTGGAAAGACCCCTCCATTCCTTTTGTCAGGATTTGGTCTTCACTTTTAGAAGTTCATGTGATTCAACAGAACCCATCCAGACAACCCAAGTGCTGTGTCAGCTCTGAATTAATTACATCTGCGAAGTCCTTTCTGCCATAGTACAGTCCACTCACAGAGTTTGGAGTGGGGTACGATCATTTCTGGGAACTATGACACTGTCTGTGACATGCCCATAGGAAGTTTGACATCTGGTTAGGAGATGACAAATAAATAAATATTGGAGATGCCACAATAGACGTTAATATCATATAAAATGGGACGACAAAGAGAGAGAGAGAGTGAGAGAGAGGAACTGAATGTGGAAAGATAAGTAGTTGTTTGATAAGTGGCAGGGGGAACACTCCAGAGAGAAGCTGCAGTAATAGTGATAGTGATCATGACCCTGGATATACTTTTGTGAGGTCATCTCAGAGATTCTCATATGCAGTGGCTGCCATCATCTTTCATCTTAGCATCACAATAGCATCACACGCAGAGCACTAATGTCAGCCATGTGTGCAATAGGAATGGCTGTTGAGAGGATTAATGTTGGTGTCCCATGCCTGACATAGCAAATGCTTAAAATGAGGTAGGTGAAGGAGGTAGTTAAAAGGGCTCAGGGGGTGCAGTTGGCTTGTTGGCTTGGCTGCTGATGCTGTAGCTGGAGAATTGAGAGAGACTTGGAGTTTGGGTTCTGGAACACTGCAGGACTTCTGGGAGGTGTCTGTATGAATAACATTTTGTTGTGACACAGGACACAAGTTGACTTAAATAGTGTCGCTCAGGCACCCAGGAGATGCTGAGGCTGGAGAAACATTCTGTAATGTTTGTGTCTAAGATGGGACTCGCTCCCTCCAACAACACCTTCCCACCTGCAGCTGTCTTCTTCCCTTTTGTTCCCATGCTGAGCAGGCCTCTTTGCCTGCTGTCCCTCCTCTAGTGGGGGCTGCTGGTTTCTGTCAGCCAGCTCTCTGAGGGGAAAAGTCCCATTTGCAGCGTTTGCTGATTTCTGTGGTATAAATTCTCCCCAATGTGAGGCTGTGGTTGTTTGCTGGCTAAAATGGTTCATTTGAAAGACACTTAGGGGTCTGAAAAGCCTCGAATATTTGCTAACTGGACTTTGTGTTCTATCTCTGCTGTGGTTTTAGCAAAAATAAACCATAGGGACATATCTCCTTCTCCCAGGGTGGTAGGGATGGCCATTCAAGGGGGCAGTGTGTAAGATGGTCCAGAGCGACACTGTTGAACTGCACTTAAGAAAGCCTTGCCTGGCAGAGCTGTGCATCACAGAGGGGAGCAGGGGGCCTGTTGGGGGGCCTTTGTTGTTAGCTAGGCAGAGCTGGTCTCTGGTTGGGTTGGGGGTGTTAGTGGGAGGGGCGGGGCAGGACAGGTTGAGGATAGAGTCAGCAGGATTTGCTGACTTGGAAAAGAGGAGTTAAGCTCTGGTCCTGGGTACAGAAGCAATACCCAAAGGACACCTGAGATGGCACTAAAGTCTCAGTTACCTAGATCATGTTACAGTGGGTTGCTAAGAGATTTTAGAAGAACGTTGGAACTTCATCAGTTTTAATAAATTATATCCTATTTACCATGTGAGAAAATTCTTTGACTGTCCACTCCCCACCCCTACTACCGCCATCTTGATTTGGGGTTTCCCTGCCTTTGAGGCTGGCCTAGAATTGCCAGGCCAGCTGTGCCCTTACTACACTTCTGCCACCAATGTCCAAATGTACCAGCTGCATGTCGTCATGCCTGGTGATGGTCTGTACTTTTAAGAAAAATTGAAAAAATAAATCCACCGTTTCTATGCAGTGGCATTTTTTGAAAAGGAAATTGTAATGAAATCTATTTTGGACAAGGCTGTTTGTTAAGATTTTTTTTTTTTTTTTTTTTTAAAAAAAATCTATCCAGAAATTAGAATTTGGGAGAGAATCAGAATTCCACCCCAGCTCTTAGTTTCTTAACTTAAAGTGTTAATGTTTTATTATATTTTATTAATTGCTTGTGTCTGTTGTGTAGGTTTTACTTGTAATGGACACAAGGACAGAACAGACCTTCATTTTAAAAGTAAGTAGAATTTGGTGTTTAGTGAATTTAAAAAATGACTTTTAAAAACTTAAACATGCTCTTGGAAGAAAAAGTAATAATTTTGCATGGCATCTGAGTGTTTTATGTTCGTGATGATCTATATTTATGTCTTGCACAGTTGACAAACATGCTATAGCTTCTATTTAGAAAGTTTCATGTTAAAGAGTATGTAATTTGAATGCACCTGAGAGCCAAGAGCCTTCAGATGTGTTGTTTCTTGTGATTCGTAAGGGTCACACTGGGTCTTGCTTGGGTGCTGGATTGTTCCTTGGTGATAATTCAGTAATAATTAAATGAATAACTTCAGTTTTGAAGTTTTTTTTTTTGTAATGGATTATGATAGTATGTGTTTTAAATATGTCCTGTTGAACAGTCCCATGGCACCCAAAAGGGAAGCTGCTTGTCTTGGGCATCTCCTTTCTCTTGCTGGTCCTGCACAGCAGTCAGCCACATTGACATGTGTGAAGCCTGCCTGTCTTTGTGAACATTCCATGCCACCCCTCCCAGTGGCGTGTACCCAGGTTTAAAGCCAGGGTCTAACACCAGGGAACTCATAGGTCTTGTCCTTTTGGAGGTCAGTCAGCAGTGTTTTGGAGTTGAATTTAAAAGTTTCTGCTTCATCCAGGACACATCTGGTGCCTGGAGATTGTGACTCAAACTGGTTGCTGCCTTAAAGATGTACACAAGGAAAATCAAACTTAGAGGTCGCAGAGAAATAACTGTATGTCATCCTGATGACTTAGTTTGAGAGCATCGCTAATAAAAACACTGACCCACGTAATTGATTTTAATGGCAGCTTTGTGGAATCTTCTGTTGTCTGGATTCATGCCAGATGCCATCAGCAGAGCCTCCGGGGACCGAGGGGCACAGAGCAGCAGATGAGTGGTTTCTCTGAAGCCCGAGTAACTCGGATAGATTAGCGTGGTTGATAAACACTGGGCACAGCAGGCTCCAAAGGCAACTGCGGGTACAACTGACCTTTTTGTTCTCTGTCAGGGTCTAAGGAAAAGCAGCGAGTACAGCAGGAGCAGGAAGACCATCATCCCCCGCTGTGTGCCCAACATGGTGTGTCTGCACAAGTACATCATCTCGGAGGAGTCCGTGTTTCTTGTGCTGCAGCACGCTGAAGGTGGGTGGGTGGCCTGTCTGACTGTGGCCGAGTGCAGGCATCACCTGCCTTGAACTCTGGTGTCTGCCATGCTGCTTGGTCATTGTTATTTCATAAGCATTGAGATGGGGGACCTGCCTCCACACTCCTGCTCACCCTCCTTGCTGTGAGTTTTGAGGGAAAAGGAGAACCCAGGTGACCAGCCAGCTGCACCTGAACTGTGGGATAGTCCTAATGTATGCACTTTGCTGTGGAATTAACTGACATGATGAGAACTTTAATAGGAATGCATTGGAGAGAGCTGGGTTTTATTTAGAGATTTAATTCTGTTCCCTTGTCTACACTGAAAAGCTACCCTTACGCTAGATGACTAAAAAAGCATCCCCTGCAGAATTAATTAATTGCTTCCTTTACAGGAAGGCAAGGGTGTTTGTTTAACATTTGACATTGCCTCGTTTTTCTGATCTGAGCCTGGTGCACACAGCCATGGGCGCCTCACGTGAGTACAAAGCAGAGGCGTGGGCTCTGCCTTCAGCCACTTCCTAGGGAGCAGGTTGCAGAAGGCACTGTGCTGGTTTGGTTTTTCCTGTTCATACCTGAATTTAAATAAACATCCTCTTATTTAGGTGACCACAGCATGTAAACATAAATTCACATACCACATATTACCTTTTGGAGTTTAAACAGGCATTCTTAAAATAATGAAGAAAATTTAAATAATTTTCCATATTTCATGAAGGTGTCTTTATTATATAGAGAATACAATACTTTATTTTACTAATAGGCATGACATTTGAATTTAATACCTTTTTCTCGGGAAAAAGAGGCAATGCTTTCTGGAACGAGGTCTCTGATGGTAACTAACGCAAGATTTTTGATGGGGGTAATAAAGTACTAATGTTGTTATTATGAAGTCCACACAAGATAACTACAGATGGAGGGAAGACCTCCATACGCAGTGTTTAATAGGAAATTCAGAGGGGCTCCATGGTCTCACAGGTATTAAGAGAGTTAATTGCGTGTGTGAATTGGATAACTAATTCACCTTTGTTCAGACATTATAGACAGCTTTTATCTGAGGATACCAGTACATTACAGACATTATTGAATTAGAGGTCATGTCATCTGATAGCAAAATACAGCCACCTCTGGTGTGGAACAAAATAACTTGCGTAGTAATAATCCATAATAATTTAGAACAAGGTCAGTAGGATGAATGTAATTATGGTCAATATTCTATTACCCGGTGTGGATTATTCATGTTGGAGATTATCTGTGGCAAAGCTTCAGCCCTCGCTTACTTCTCTCCTCCTCCTCTTGATTCCCCGTCATACTTGCTTGTCTTCTGCCATCTTCACTCCTGCTTCTCAGAGCTGAGACTGCAGCTGATGCTGGTTTAATGTGGTGTCCAGGGTCTGTGCACTGACATCAGCTCTCCTGCTCTTGGAATTCTTCTTGCCCATATCTTTGGTGTTGACCACAAGTGACCAAATGGAAACACGTTGGAAGACTGTCATGGACTTGTAAACCCACAAAGAGTGTCTCTCCTTTCAAACGTCTGTGGCTTAATTTTCTACAAATCTTTACAATGTTAACTAAGTTGGTGAAGATAGTAGTGCTCAATTCATTTGCCGTTAGCAGATTGATTGTGCATGAGCTGCACAGTGAGCTGTGTTTCCAGTGAACAAAGCATGGCAGGAGCCACCCTTTCAAAACCTAAATTGCTGCCGTGGAGTCAAATGGGGGGGGGGAATGAAGTACTGGATACATTTGGGCAAGCCACTCTGATCCTTAACCCAGAGTGACCTAATGGGTCACAGACCTAATGGCTGCTAATGTGCTCAAGGAGCCCTCTTTGAAATGGAGACATTTAAAAAAGAGTTCTGAGTCACAAAAACCCCTGCCTGCCATTGCATGTAAGGTCCAACCACTGGGATGGTGTGACACAGGGTATTGGATGAATGAGAAAGGAGACTGTGGTTCTGGTTGTGGTTGTAGGTGAAGGGCTGCAGTGATGCTGAGGGCTGTGGGAAAGTTGGCAGAGTCTGGTCCTACAAAGGTCTGACTCGCACTCCATGAGGTCACTCACTAGCCATTCATCTCAGATGCAGGAGAGGGTCACTGCTATGCCAGCCCAGGTGATAGGAGACCTGATTTCAAACAAACACAATCAAAAAGGTCACTCCTTATCGTGTGGTGGTGTCATAATTCACCTTCTGTTGCTGTGACAAAAGCCACTTGGAGGAGAAAGGGTTTGTTTAGTTTACATGTTCTGTTTACAGGCTGTCAGGGCAGATGTCAGGGCAAGAACCTGGGGCAGGCACTTGGAGGCAGCATCCCATGGAGGGATGCTGCTTACTGGCTTGCTCCTCATGGCTTGCACAGTCTGCTTTCTTATACAGCCCAGGACCACCAGCCCAGGGGTGGTACCACTCACAATGGACTGGGCCTTCCCAAATCAATCATTAATCAAGTAAATGCCCCTACAGACTTGCCTACATCTCAATCGATGGAGGTAATTGCTCATTTGACCCTCCCTTGCCGCTGATATGTCAGGGTTTGCATCAAGCTGACAAAAACTGGCCTTCACAGATGAGCTGAGTGAGCTAAGAGCAGAGCAAGGGCTGATGCAGAGTCTGGGCAAAAGCTGATGGTGTGGTCTTCATGGTCCTGCGGGCCTGTGCACTTCCCAGGTCTGGCCCAAGCAGTCGAGTGAGCTGGTTGATAGCTTTGTGTGTTTTCACCCACTGTGGGCCTTTCTGTGGTGCCTTCAGGGACAAAGCTGTTATGACAGTTCCACATGTGCGGGGAGAGAGCCAGCTCCCCCAAGCTGCCCTCCTACCTCCACGTGTGTTGTGGCATACATCCCCTCCCCCCCAATAGCTGTAGAAAGGTCACTTTGACAGTTTTATAGCTCTGCTGAACTTAGAGTAGTTACGACTCCCAGATTTGGCTGCCCAGAACTTACACAACTAGCTAGAATATGTAGTCTCTCACTCTGTTTTTACTCCAGTCAGCTAGAGGCTTCTTGAGAGCTTTCTGGGGGCATAGACATCGTTCTAATCCAGCAGTAGGCAATGTAGAAGACTTTGCCTGTGTGGAGCCCACATGGTGTTCTAGATGGGGGCAGACAAAAAACATGCACAGAGAAGATATGCAGATGGAGAAAAGTGGGAGAGTAGGACATCAAGGGATGGATGGGGGAGTTGTTCTCACTGGCGGCCACTGTACCGAGAAAGAAGCATTTGACGAGAGAGAAGAACAGTGTGTGTTTGTGGGAAAAGAAGGCCTTGGCAAGAGAAAACAGGCACATGAGCCCGGAACCAGGAGTGTGCTTGGTGGATAAGCAGCCGCCAGGCGAGGGCTGCTGAACAGGGAAAGGAGAGACTCAGGAGCTGGAAAGCAGGGCCTGTGGTGTTTCGTGGGCCACCTTCGTGTTGGAAGAACCTGAGTGAACAAGAGGATACGTCACTGGGTCACTGAGGATGCTAAGGAGAGGAATGGTAACATAAGGGCCACTGTGGCTAACTTTGTGGAAAATGGAAGCTTGGTGACCAAATAGAAAAAAAAAAAAAAAAAAAAAAAAAAAGGCATGATAACAGCTTAGAGGTTTTGCAGCAAACTAGGCAGAATGCTGGTGCTTGGGGAGCAGTCACATTAGCCATTAGCTTCTGTTACCCTGAAGAAAGAATGTTCAGGGCCATGGGCCTAGAGTCTGCTTGGTCCTTGTGACCTCCTGGTGACAGGCAGCACAGTGCTTGGCGTGTCTACAAGACAAGGTGGGAGGGTGGGGCACGAGGTCAGGACAAGCCCAGGGTCCTGTGAGAACTACAGTGATTCCTGCCCTAAGGATGAAACCCAGAGACCCAGTGGCCTCCTGTTGCAGCCCCACACTGGGACCAAAGTTACAGCTGCGATCTGTGGGTGGCGCACTCTGGCCATGAGCAGAGCCTTCCTGTTCCCAGTGATGCTCAGTCCTGGCTCTAGAAACAGATGCTTCCTTTCTCCTACGGACACAGTCTCCTTCTGTGACCCAGGCTGTCTTGGAACTTGTGGTCCCCCTGACTCAGCTCCATAGTGCTGAGATAACAGGCCCAAGCCACGGTGTCCATTATTTCTGTTTTTGTGTTTTAATGTAAACAGATCTTACATGTTGCTTCTGGTCTGCTTGTCATCTTAGCAATGTACATTAGACACCTTTCTGAGCTCTTACAGAGCTGTGTTATAAAAGGTCATGACAGGTGTGGTAGCCCACACCTGTCATCCCAGGACTCGAGAGGCGAGTTTAAAGCAGCCTGGTCTGTGTAGTGAGTAGGGTCAGGCCTAAGTAGGATGCATAGTGAGACTGACTGACTTGATTTTCTCTCTCTCAGAAAGTGTTCTCTTCATGTAGTGGTGCCCATAATCCCAGCATTTAGAAGGTTGAGGCAGGAGGATTATAACAAGTTCAAAGCCAGCCTGGAACAGAGTGAGGACTGGGCAATGTGAGTGTGAGTGCTGTCTCGCCATTACTAGTTCTGTGACCTGAGTCAAATGGCTTAGCCTTTCTGTGCCTCAGTTTCTTTGTTTGCAAAATAGACACATAGTGACTGTGGACTCAGTAGGACCTACAGAAGATTAAACTGCTACGTGTGTACAACACTTAGGGTGGCAGGCATGCGGTGAGCGTGCATGTCTCAGGGTGGCAGGCATGCGGTGAGCGTGCATGTCTCAAGGTGGCAGGCGTGCGGTGAGCGTGCATGTCTCAGGGTGGCAGGCGTGCGGTGAGCGTGCATGTCTCAGGGTGGCAGGCGTGCGGTGAGCGTGCATGTCTCAGGGTGGCAGGCGTGCGGTGAGCGTGCATGTTTCAGGGTGGCAGGCATATGTGGTGGGCATCATTGTCTCTTAAGGCAGCAGGTGTGCGGTGAGCATGCATGGCTGCAGAGTGGTTCCGCACATTTCCCATGATGCAACTCTTTTCTTCTTCTTGCTTTGTGAATTGTTCCATCACTTGCATGTATGTATCTTGGCATTTTTAACTTTTTAAAATTTTATTTATTTCTTTTAAGAATTATTTGTAGGGCAGATCTCTTGATGTAGAATTCCTAGGTCAAAGGTGGACTTTTCCCATTGCAATAGGAATATCATCTGTGTTAAGTCCAAGTTCTAATTCTGCTTAGGCAAATCCATATATTTACTGTGCAGTCTTTTAGGAAACCAATAAATTAAAATGAGAGACAGAGGGGTTTAATTAAATGTTATGAATTGCCATTAAATAGCTTAAGATGGTTCAATAACTGCAATTTCCTATGCTTCAAAGGGGCCTAGAAAATATCAGGTATATGCTTGATGTGCTAGAATGATGGATGTTTTGGGTGTTCCGTATTCATATTTGAGATTTAATGAACAGCAGGTGTTTAGGTTAATGTTGTGGTCATAATAATATTAATGTTTGGGTATGTAAGTTGTTTGGTAGGGTTGATTTTGGTTCTAAAGAAAGCAGAACACACTCAGTATTGAAGGAATGATGTGTTCTGGTTTGGGATTCATGGTGAGCAGTGCAGGAGAGGATGTACTCTGTTCCGAGCTCTGCTCTACACTGAATGCTACATTGCACTGACCTCAGAGTGAAGCTGGAGGAGCCCAGACAGCCTCTTCCCCTCCTCATGTTAGAGAACATGTGTGACCCCAGAAGGTTCCACAAAAAAAGCACCAGTAAGTAGCACATTTAAGGTTGTTACCCAATAGTGAAAATGGCTAATTGCTAATGTATGGCACAGGCCCCTTGCTGGAGGAGGTGCTGTGTTGTCCATTGCATGTTGGCGGTGTGTGTGTGTGTGTGTGTGTGTGTGTGTGTGTGTGTGTGTGTGTGTGTCTGTCAGGGGGAGGATCCTGCCTGAGCATCATAGCAGCCCGCATATGAACCTTAGAAACACTCATGCTCCCCAGCCAGCTGCCAGGTGCATGGTGGTGTTCTCAGGGCCTGCACACCAGCTAGAGGCACTGGGATAGAAATTCAGGGCCTTCTCTTACACCTGCTGGTCCCAGGCCAGCCTGGGCTACAGGAGCCCTTTCTCCTTCTGACTGAGCACTGTCACTTCTGGGGTCCTGTCTTGATGATGTATTTAGAGATGGCAGGTGGTTTGTTATTTTTAATAATTCTTACAGTAAAAGGCTGGAGAATATACAAATATCCACTAACTAAGGAGTGTTTAACTGTGCGACCCTGATGCACAATCATTTAAACTCATTTTCTCATGGAGATGTTTATGACACCATGTTAATTACGATTAAATCTTGAAAAAAGGAATGGTTAGTAGTGTCTCTTTGGTGGTGAGAGCAGAGATGGTGTTGGGAATTTTATGCTTCCTGTTTTACTTATCCCCTTTGGTATTTGCTAAGAATGTTGTGGTAAAACCACATATGAGTTATAAAATAGGAAGTGTGTGTGACTCCTACATATAACACAGTCTGTACATATGAGTTATGAAATAGGAAGTGTGTGTGACCTCTACATATTAACACAGTCTGTACATACGAGTTATGAAATAGGAAGTGTGTGTGACCTCTACATATAACACAGTCTGTATATATGGGTTATAAAATAGGAAGAGCGTAACCCCTACACATAACACAATATGTATGTATAGACATTTTCTCCAAAAGCTTTTGAAAACCATTATAAAGATGTTATGTATTTATGTCTCAGTTTAATAAATAGTTATTAAATGTGTTTTACATGCTAAGTAGAATTCTCTGGAGTTATGAAGACCTTGCTGTCTGTGAAAGGAGATCATGGAAATGTAAGACTAGTAGTAACATGATGTAGATTGTTGGAAATGGTGTAAAAATACTGGCATCTGGGTTCAGAGAAAGCATGGATCATGCCTGTTGAAGCGGTACAAAGATGTTGGTTAAAAAAAATGGTAAGTGCTAAAGGACCTTCAAGTCACTGGTTGATTGCTGTGAAGAGACACCATGACCATGGCAACTTGACTCTTACAAAAGAAAACATTTAACTGGGGGCTTGCTTACAGTTACAGAGGTTAGTCTGTAGTCATTGTAGTGGCAAACATGGTGTCATGCATGGTGCTGGAGCAGTAGCTGAGGGAGCGGGTGTAGGGGGTGGGGGGTGGGGAGACAGAGACAGACTGACCCATGGCTCAGTGTGGACTTATGAAACTTCAAAGCCACACCAATGATACGTGTCTTCCAACAAGGCCACACCTCTTGATCTTTCTAACCCTTCTCAAACAGTGCCACTCCCTGGTGATGGAGCATTAAAATGTATGAGCCTAGGGGGCCATTCTCATTCAAACCTCCACATTCTCCTCATGCACCCCCCATAGGCTTGTAGCCATGTCATCATGCAAAAATGCATTCAGTCCAACTTCAAAAGTCCCCATAGTCTATCAGGATTTCAACATTCTTTAAAACTCCAAAGTCTTTTCTGAAGCTCATGTAATCTCTTAACTGTAATCCACTGTAAAATCAAAATAAAAAAGCAGACCACATACTTCCAACATATAGTGGCAGCAAATGTACACTACCATTCCAAAAGGGAGGAAAGGAGGCATAGTGAGGAAATACTGGACTAAGTAAGACCTAAAACCCTAAACCCCAGACCCTGCATCTCCATGTGTGATGTCTAAGTGCTCCGCAGACCTCCCCTCCTTTCAGCTCTGTTGACTGCAGTGCACTTCTCTCTGTCTAGGCTGCTTCCACACGGGTCTGCCGCTTCGCTTCCCTTGGCAGGCATCCCATGGCTCCGGATCTCCAACATCTTGGGTTCTCCACGGCAATCCAGGTTTCACCTTCACAGCTTCACACAGTGGTTACTGTTGTCAAAAGACTTTAAATGTTAGTGTATTCACAGGGAACCCTGAAACCCTGAACATGCAGGAGAGGACAGGAGACATGAAGGGCTACATGCTGTCTGTACTGTCACCAAAGTGGGAGAATCTTACCGCATGGGGCACAGAGCGGAGGATGGGGGAGGGGAGCACACGACTGTGACAGTCACTGCTCTTCATTCTGGGAAGAGTGCAAGGTGGTTAGTGGCTTTTTTGAAGTCCTTGAAGTGAGTTATGAAGTAGAAGCTTCTTGGATGGGTTTGAGGATTTTTTATACCTGGGATCAATTGGTCATGATTATTTGTTTTGATTGAGCTCCCTTGGTATATGATGCCCAACAGCAAATGAAAACTGATCTGAAAATTCACCCTCTTCATCTAAGTAGGGAGGTTTGTTTTAACTCACTCTTTTGTGTATGTGGGTGTGCACATCGTGGCATGCACACAGAGGTCAGATGACAGGAGCAGAAGCTGATTCTCTCCTTCCCCATGTGGGTCCCTGGGATCAAACTCAGGCAGTCAGCACTTGTCCTTAATCCCTCTTTCATGACCCAGTTCTGGAAGCTGTCTCTTGTCTTCACAGAGCACGAATTTGCAGCTCCACTCATGAGACTTTGGTACCAGATTTAATGAATTTTTCTTTTGGTATGATTTTTAATCATTGAATGTTTAATCCATTATGGTTTCTGTGCTTTTTTTTTTTTTTTTTTAAATTCAGATTCTAGATAGAAAACCTCTCTAATTCTGAGTTTTTAATGCTTAAATTAAGAAGAGATCTACAATATAGCAGCTATCTAGCCAGCACTGTGGGTGATCTGTTGGGTTAGTTCATGTTCATTTGGTGTCTGTGGTCTTAGTTTTGTTCTGTGATGTCACTGGGCTCTGGGTCCAGAGGTATGTATCAGCACATTGCCACGGTATTCTTACCTTATAAAGAGCTTCCCAGCTAGTCTTCCACAGGAGTGGGATTTGTTCATACAAAACACATGACATGTTTCAAGGGCAGAAGATGGGAAAATAAATTAACATGTCACTTATGAAGTCATAACTATGTGCCAGCTGTCAGATCCCCTCAGTTCTGGACTGGGCACTTTCTGAATGGATCCCTTACATAGTGTACAGTTTTAGTAGCACATGTGTATCTGATCGACAAATTTTGACCCAAGAGAAGACTAAACAACATTTTGCTTAAAGATTCTAGCTATGTGGGGATTACCACGAATTCTCTTTACAGGAAGAAATAGACTGTGATTTTTTAAATAATTGGCATCAGGAGATGTGCTTGTATCATACTCCCAGTAGTAGTTAGCAGTAGTAAACGGTAAGGAGAATGTCACATTTTGTTGCATATACTTGTCTGATATCACATTGGATCTTTGACATTAATGAATTTATTGACTTATTTTTGGTTAGTTATTATGATACTTATTTTCCCCCGCAGTGGCTTAAGCAGCTACCAATTTGGAGAACTTAATTATTTGTTGTTGTATTTGTTCACAGGTGGCAAACTCTGGTCATATATCAGTAAATTTCTAAACAGAAGTTCTCAAGAAAGCTTTGACATTAAGGAAACGAAACCGACTGTGCCTCACCGCGTTTATTTGCATCAGCCAAATGCTAGCCCTCAGGACAGCAGCAGCTTCGAGTCCAGAGGGAGCGACATGGGGGGCATGTTGAAGGTCCTTCCGCTGAAGACCAGTTGCACCCCAAGTTCTCAAGAGGATAGCAACCAGGAAGACGATGGCCAGTCCACTTCTCCCAAGTGGCCGGATTCAGGCTCCAGCTCGGAGGAGGAGTGCACGGCTGGCTACCTGACGCTGTGCAACGAATACGGGCAGGAAAAGATTGACCTGGGGTCTTTGAACGAGGAACCCATCATGCTGCCTGGAGGGGAGAGTGCTGACACCCAGGCTGTTTTGAGCTTCCCAGCATCCCTTGCTGCTGATAGTCCGAGCCCCAGCACGCAGCAGCTCAAGTTCTCCCCTGGAGACGAGGACCTAGAAGCATCTTGTTTCCCTCAGACATCTGATTCCCTCACCATGTCAAAAAATAGCCCTATGGAGTTCTTTAGAATTGATAGTAAGGACAGCACAAGTGAACTCCTAGGACTGGATTTTGGCGAGAAATTGCACGGTCTGAAACCAGAACCTTTGAAAGCACTCTTTACCCTCGCGGATGGAGAAGGAGACAGCAGGGTAGGGGCTGAGGCTCAGGACTCCATCAGCAGGGGCTCGGATGACTCGGTCCCGGTCATTTCGTTCAAAGAAGCCGCCTTTGAGGATATCTGTGGTGCTGAGGCAGGAAGGCCCGACCTTCTGGTAAACCTACCCGGTGAGCCTCAGCCAGCCAAGGAGGCATCAACGACGGACCCCACCAAGTTTCCGCTTGCCAGTGCAGGCAGGCTGGAGAGCAAACTGTTGGAAGCCCCGGATGTGCTATGCCTAAGGCTGAGTTCTGAGCAGTGCCATGAGCCGGGAAAAGAAGGCCCAGAGGAACTGAGTGATTGGGCTAGGTCCCTGACCTGTGGTGGTGTGACTCCAAAGCACCGCGCTCATGCAGGTCCTGGGGTGTTAGGTGCAGCTGCTGTTGTTGATCACGCCAGCTCAGGAGACCAGTTTCTGTTACCCAGCTCATATCCTGAGTCTGAGGGGCTGGGACAAGTGGAGGCCGTGGTCACTACACACGACGCAGGAGAAAGCCTGCTCCACATTTCTGGTCCACACTCAGGTGCTAAGGGACACGGTGCACACCCAGGCACTGCCACAGTGGAGGAAGTGTTATTGTTCACAGAGCACGCTAAAGAGGAACCGAGCCCTCTATTTCAGAGACACTCTGAGACCAAGGAGCAAAGTGTGCTAGCCCTGGGAGGAGAGAAGGAAATCCATCAAATTTTTGAGGACCTTGATAAGAAATTAGCGGTGAGCTCCAGGTTCTTCATCCCGGAGGGCTGCGTTCAGAGATGGGCAGCTGAAATGGTGGTAGCCCTTGACGCCCTGCACAGAGAGGGGATTGTGTGCCGCGATCTGAACCCAAACAACATCTTATTGAATGATGGAGGTCAGGAACTTTCGCAAATGCATTTCTTTTTATTCGCTGTTGCTTCCAATTAACTGAGTAGGCGTTTTATCTTGTAATTAGTATCTTCATTTCCTGTCTAGAGCTTCATTATCAGTGCGGCAAATTCACCCCCAGTAATAGCTTCTAGTACTTAATGATGCCATTATTCTTAATGATACTGTTTTTAGCTACAAAAGGAGTAATTACAGTTCGCTTCTGCAGAAAATGGAAGAGAAAAATGTTTTGATTTCTCCTGTCGTTTTGTTTTTAGGACACATTCAGCTAACGTATTTTAGCAGGTGGAGTGAGGTTGAAGATTCCTGTGACAGCGATGCCATAGCGAGAATGTACTGTGCCCCAGGTTAGAGCAATCTCCTCAAACGCTTCACTTGAAAAGATGGCTCGGTAGCTCTTACTTCTCTGTACAAGTTGTGTTTTTCACCGGCAGTTTGCGTATGTGTTGCGTCTGCTGATCCATTCTTTCAGCCCTCCAAAGAGAAGTAGGGGATTGAGCTGAGTGTGTGTGTGTGTGTGTGTGCATGCTTACTGCCCTGTTTAAAGCATTTATGTATCTCTGGAAACCCATTGCATTCTTTCAAGTGTCTTAAGCAAGGCCTTATGTCCCCCGAGAGTCTTCACATGGGTGAACTTTATCAAGTTTTATTAAGATGTGGGTGAAATTTCCAAGGCTACAGTGGATAAAATGTGTTTTTTTGATGCACTGTGTCTTCAGGGGTGAACTGCCCTGGAAGTTGAGAACACAGTTTAAGATATTCTATATTTGAGAGCATAATAAACATGTTCCCCCTACTTTAAAATGGCCCATGTAGCCAAACACTTTGACTTGAGTTTCTCTAGCCCTTACTGCCTGCTCTTTATTTTTTAACATTACAGATGTATCGCTGTGGCCATTAGGACCTCTGTAAGTGGCCATAGCCAAGCATTTGATTAGAGTTACTGTCTTGTCAGTGCAGGTGGGCTTTGTTTAAACCCACCTCTTCTTCTCCCATCTCGAGCATCGAGTCTCGTAGGTGAGCAATTGATTCATCACTCGCCCACTGGCTGTCGGGTGTGTCAGCCGATGGAGCAGACAAGATTCACTAGGTGCGTAGTCTTTGGTTTGTACTAGCTCACTATTGTGTTGCTGCTAAGTTAGCTCAGCTTCGTAGGAAATGGTAATTAGGAATGAAAGAGCTTCCTTGTTAATAGTGGCTGGGTTGAGGAAAGACAAGTTTTCAACCCATGATGCAAATCCTCAACTTTTGTACTCTGAACAACTGCTTGGGAACCGATAACTGTTATGTTGTTAATGGAGCAACAACAACAACAACGAAAATTGTAGTGACATCACCTGATCTTGCACTCACAGGTGCCACTCTTTAATTTGGTAACAGCTAGCATGAATGTGTTTATTAATTGCAATGAATTTGGAAGTGTTAGAGTCTACCTTAAACTTGGGAGATCATGTGAGTCAAGTGTGTTCCATCCTGAAGTGGGGTCCAGTGTGATGTGTAAGTTACAGCTGAATGCCGTGGGTGTGTGCTTGTACAAGATACTGTGGCTTCCATTCTGAGAAGTGGCCGTTGGGCCAGGTCTCTGTTAGCATCTGAGAGCTTCTACATAATGGGATAGAACCATTCCGTATAAACTCTGGGTTTCATGTGTGATGTACCATTTACCAGTTTTCCAGACCTAACTTCTTTTCTCAGGGAAGAGCATGCCTCGCATTTGGCCAGCAGATGGCAGTGCACCACTAATGGACCCTCTTCTCTCTGCCATCTTCCTGGTTGTTGTCCTTCATAGTGTTTTTTTTTTTTTTTGGGGGGGGGGGGGGGAGAATGCAGCCAAACTGTAGTCCAAAGAGAGGCTTTGTTGTAATTGTTTGTGTGAAAGAACTGCACCTTCCAGCTACTTAGCTGCTCAGTGTGTGAGCAGCAGGGAAGACTCTCCAACCCTTGGGCAGATAACTTTAGCGTCAAGGAGAAGCAAACTCTCCCCTTCCAGTTAACATGACCTCAAGTCTACAGAGGCAGAGCCTCCACCTTGCAATCCTAAGGGGAGTGAATTGCAGAGCTTCACTTAGAACTGAATAGCAGCACTGCCTGTGAGTACATAGTCTTCCCTCTCACTGGGAGAGACCAGTGGCAATGGGCCAGTATTTCAGTGTATAGTGACCGTGCGGCTCTCGGTCAACAGACCCCAGGCAGTGATTTCCTTCCCTCTTCTCGATTCTGACTGCTGTGTCAGTCACTGGAGCTGGAGCAGCTCCTGTGGTCAGAAAGTAAAGGTCAGAGATTGAGGAGCTTTGCCTGCTCTGTACTTATACAGCTCACCTGCCCCTGCCTCTCCCCTTTCCAGGGAATCCTTAGCACCTGTTTGTCCAAAATCCATCACCCATGTGCCTGTACTTTATCGCATCAGTGTACCCTTTTATCTTGTGGATGGTGTGCCTTGATATATTTTGAGAAAAATTTCCAGTAACAGATTCGATTTACATGAACAGAAACTTGAGCAAATGCCAGACTAGCAGGGGGGCCATTATTCTGTTCTATAAATAAGTTTAGACCAGAAAACACTTGCAGAAACCTGGGAATCAACATGTTTTGGTCTAATTGAGGGGAAAAGCAAGATAGATAAATTTTGAAATGCAAATGATCACCTTCTGTTTTTTTTAAAGAATCGCTTCTGCCAACTTTGTGATCTTAGATTTAAAGTCACAGGCCTCTAGCCATGTGCACTACTAAGGCAGTTCAGGGCTCACAAGCTCTGCAATAAAACTAAGAACTTAAAAAAAGTTGCCCTTTTATGTTAAAGAAAACAGATCCAACAACACAAAGACAAAACCCATGGCGCACTCTCTGTCTATGTCTCTGAAAAAGCCGGCCCTTGAACGGCTGCAGCTGCAGATCCATCAAGAAGGTCTTGAGACCATGAATTCATGCATCAGACTCAGCTCATTTTCAAAGTTGAGGCATCCTTTCAGGTGCATTTTGTTCCTCCGGTTACCTAGCAAGGTTTTATTAAACAAATCACATTCATGGCAAATGAGTTCCTTTCATACCACAGATACATGGGATGGAGGGCAGAAAGAGAAGGAGAACAGTGATGTGCTAGATGGGCAGAGCGTGTGCAGCTGAGTGGGTGCACAGCTCTGAGTGGGACTGCAGCATGAGTGGGTCCGCGGCACTCACTGGGTCTGCAGCTCTGTCCTCTCTCCAGGCACTCCCTCCCTCAGGAGCTCCTGGACCACAGGGAGGGGTGATGGAACAGAAGCCAGGCTGCTGCTCACATTTCTCCAGAGCACTTGCTTATAGCAAGCAACTCTGATTTTATTTCTAGTGCTACAGAAACCACAATTTCACCAAGTTTTTGGCTCAAGGATTTGAAACATTTCTTCAGTTTGGTAGCATAGAATAAGTCTTTGTTACTGCATTTTTAGTGTAATAGAAAAATAAAATAAGATGTTGGGGGCTATAGTCATTGTTTTCTTAGCAGTGTTTTCCTTAGCAGTCTTGACTGTTACAGTCAAAGGCAGTAGAAATAGAACTTATACTCTTACCTGTGAAATACAAAGATGGGTTGAAAATTGAGTGTCCAGGCTCACGCAAGTGAGCAGGGTTAATAACGAATGTGTTAGTCACTAAGCTAATATCCTCACTCACATTACCATTGGACACTTAAACAAGTCCTGTGTCTCCTTCACTGTTATTTTCCACCCCATCATGAGGCTTCCTTTTTAAATACTTGAAATTTACATTTATATTTCTTGCAAAGTACCCCGAATTTATAGGTGAGTGTGTGTATGAAAGGAGGAAGTCCAGCACCCTTTCCACTGTAGTCTATCTCCACGGTCCCACATGTCAAACGGCAGCTTTGCTTCCTCTGTTCGGAGATTTCACTCTTGAAAACGGCTCAAAGCTGGCGGTGAAATTGAAATGCAGAAAAGTGACGCTGGAAAGTGTCTGCAAAACTCAGTGTAGAGCATGACACTCACATGCTTCCATCCCACACTCCTCGGCCCATGGCAGCTAGTCTAAGATCATATTTGTGGGTGTGGTCTCCCTTGGTCTTCTCCATGACATGCTTCCCCTCCATTTCTTTTTTGGTAAGCATGGTGCTCGCAATGTAGTTAGGTGTTTGGTACCAGAGTCAACCCAGGGATGCTTTCAAAGTGTGGAGGCCATCAGGTGCCTGCTAGGTAAAAGATCACCCAGACCTGGCCTTCACTCACTGCATGGTCTTGGACAGGTCATTTAAGACCTTCCAGGACTCAACTAAATAGTAGTAAGTAGATATATTGGGTACAAATGTCATCTATGTTAATCACATGACACCCTTATATAAAATTCAGTCAGAATTTAAGTTCATCTAGTGCAAAAATCCCACTTAACAGTAGAGTTAAAAGGATTATTTTACTTGGAAGACTTTAAAAGTATATATTTTTACTTACTTGCAGGTTTGTATAATTTATGTAGTGTATGGAAATGAGGGGTTTATTGAAAACATTTTCATTTGGAGGAATAGGCCAGGCACTTCTGAATGCACCAAAAGTTGAATGCATGGTTCCCAGCAACAGTGAGAATGAGGTTTATTTAGATATGAAAGTTCAGAGTCCTAGAGTGGTTTCAGCAGACAGGAGCAAAATAAATAAATAAATAAGCGGTGTGCTCAGAAGTAGTGAGGACATAGCAGGAAGTGGAATCATGGTCATGGAGCTTTTTTCCTTTTCTGGAGGCAGTAACGGAAGCCTTCAAGGCTCAGTTGTGTGAAGATGGTGTGCTGATCCGAGATTCTTGGTATTATTTTCCCCAGAGCAAAGCTTGATCAGTAGGTCCCATGCATGTATCTGTATTTCTCTGGACTGATCAGCAAGTGTCTTACATCCTTTCCCTGTAGCTCTTGCTGTAAAGCCACAGTTTCAAGGAGAGTAAACTGTGAAACTTCCAGAAAAGAATGGGAATTTCACACTTGTTCTCCCCACATGCCAAGGCGAAGGGCTTCAGATCAGAAATCTTTCCTGCCCAGGCGAGGGAACCCTCATGATGCCAAGGAGAGGGGAGAGTGAGGGTAGGGGCTTGAGGGTCTGCTGCCCTGGGCTTCTCCCAGGCCCAGATAGGAAGGGCCCTGGGCCTCACATGTGCCCTCACTTGGTCTGCCACCTTCACCGAGTTGACATCCCAATGTTGTGATGTCACAGTGTGTCTTGTCTCTCAGTGAGAATGAGATGGGTGGACACTGAAGGGCTCAGCTCCTGCTGTTCATCGTCTTATTGCTGTACTCTTCCCTGCACTGTAGGAAACATGTCAGCTGTTAGAATTGGGAACTGTGTAAGTGTGGCCAACAGGTAGTGTTCACACAGGG